TTTCTAGCTTTCTCAGAAACTGACTGAAAAATTCTGGTTTGCCCAGAAACTAAAATTTAAACAATATTTTCCCGGAGGTAATATGGAGAAATCCAAAGAAAAATTATTTGATAAACATTGTGACACCCTAACACTGGGTACATTTTCTGGATTAAAAAAATAGAAATTTCATTTGTAGAGTGTGATACAGTGAGGGCTTTTTTGAAGATGGACTTATGGACTAGTTTTGGACCTATGGATTTGACTTGGATTCTGCTGGGATGTTTTATCGATGTATTTTTTTGATAGAAAGCTCTTTCTTGCACATTTATGAATGTCACTGGACTTGTTTCTCTAGTTAATCTGTCCTAACACATATAGCTATCAATTCACTAAAGTATGTTTTTTAAATATTATTACATTTTATCCTTAAGTTGGTAGACCAGATGAGTAGAATACATAACTAATGCTATGCAAACAGAATCAAAGCATATTATGTTAGGTCAGCTTATATAGCAGGTTTTATGCTATAATTCCCATTTAGAATTAAAGTTGAGAGATTAAATGATATATAATTCTTTTTAAAAATGTATGAACAATATCATATGATTTTTCTAATTGTATAGATTTTATCAAATCTATTAGAGAATTTTTCTGAATAGCCTTGGAGATTAAATTGCAGCAGAATCAATTAAACTTCAGTCCTAAAACTTCCATTTCAATGAAAGGATATTTTTTATTACTTTTCACACTGGGGATCTTTTAGGTGGGCAATATTCAATACAATGACATTAGAAAAATATCAAGTAATAAACATCAGTTTTTCTAAATAATTCAGTTACCACTATTTAAACAATAATATATAGTGCTTTCCAAAAGGATATTTTATATAGGTTTATTGAGATGTTTACTTAAAATATCCCTCTAGCCTTTTTGAGGTAAACCTGATAACAAAATAATTATTTCCAAAGAAATAAACAAAACTTTTATTTTTCACTTTTAAATCATTTATTCATGTATTCCCACTACTTTCCAGTCAACTCCAACTGATGGTGAGTAGAAAGAAGTATGGGTCCAGAAGCTGTCAAACGTATGGGCTCACATAGACCCCCTTCTCCTGATGACCAGCCGGTGGGTTTAAATCTCACATATTGTGCTTAGAAGTTCAATGCGTAACTGACATCACCACTAGAGCTGCTTCCATCACTGTATTTTAAGGTGTATATGTATATACACCATATATATATATATAATTTCACAATCATTCTGTGAGTCATTTTCTTTTTAACCACATAATAATTCTGTTTATCGCTAGACCAAGCAAGTAATTATGATATTCTAATTGACTTTTAGTATGTTTTCCCTAGGACAAATAAGTTTTCTCAATATTTACTGAATTTAAATAATTTAAGTTTACTGAATCTCAAATTATTCTGAATTTAATCAAAATTTAAAAGTGTAAAACATGTGTTCCAGAAATATTGGCCAAATCTCCATTCAAAAGCAAAACTGGCAGACTTATTTTTTTGGAGGGGGGTGGTTAGTTTCAATCCCAGGAACACAAATTTCTACAGAGAGCTCCCGTGGTATTTTCATAGAATGATCAATCCTGGGGGAATGATTCAATAAAACAAGTGAAAAGTCAGTGACAATAAGCCAATTAAGTATGGCAGTAATATAAGGTAAGTCTTTTAAGCAAGGTTTAAACATTTCTTAAGCATCTCCTGGTATTTCCTCTCCCAGTAGACTGAATGTGCTGAGAAGTCAGGGACAGATGTGTCCACGCACCAACCTAACACAATAGCACGACAGAGCCTTCCACCGGACACACTCATGTCTGGAAGGGAGAGAATGCGAGTGAGACTGAGAGTGCCCTGGCAAGGTATTGATCTACGGACTCTTTGTGTAACCTTTACAGAGTTGACGGTAATTAAAATGACTTACACACTGGGATGGTTTCAAACTCAAATCTCCGACTGTAGCTACCATAGCCGGCTGCTGTGCGCGCCCGAATTTGGAAGACATACACTGAGGCTGGCTTCAGGTCCTCTGCGGTAATAGCCGTCTCTTTGGATTTGATGATCGTGTAGCTGGACTCTTGGTCCTTGAAATATACATGTAAGTGAAAAAAAGTTGGCACATGAATTAATAATTACAGTAAAAATTAAATGATAGAGCAGAAAGTGAATTAGAACGCCCTGGCTTTTGCATTAGTCTAAATATCATGTTTTAAAACCCTACACATTCTAAATGTATTATTAATATAAAATCTTAAAATGGATTCTAGGTGATCATGGCCTACTTTCGCCCCACAACCCTGTCCACCAAACGTATTTGCGTTGGAAAAATATCTATTATGTAAATATGTAAATTATAATTTTGCCCAATATTTTTTTGCAGAATATATTTCAACATTTTTATCTTTGTGATTTTCATTCTCAGAAATATTTTTGAGGTACATCAACCTGATGTCAATTGTAGATAATAATATTTAACATACTACTAGGAAAGATTTATGCCTTAAGTCTTTAGTAAGGTTGATAGTTAATTATTTTTAAGACTTATAAAAAGAAATAAGCACTTCACAGAAGAAGTACTCATTTCATCTTGTAAGTTTTAAAGTAGTTTTAGTACATTTATTTCAGTTTGTTAAATCTAAACATGGACCATTATATATAGAAACATGCCCCAAGCTTTCTTTTTTAACAATTCCCAATTTTCACTTTTGTGCACTTGGACTGAGACCGTAACAAATGAAGATGATAGGAAAAAAAAATCTAGAAATATACTTTGGATAACTGAGACAAAAAGGAATTTTTTCCTACTTCCATTACCTCAGGTAAAGCCTAGACCAGCCATCCATAACCTTTCATTGTCTTTGTGAACCTATAAATCTAAATATTAAGTTTAGACCTGCACTATTTAAAACACATAAAAGTCCCCGCTTGATATTTATTCTCCCATAGATTTTGGGTGCATATTCCTAGGTACATTGGCTTTTTGCTAAAAGTATTATTACATATAGTAACAGCTGCTGGCTGTGGAAGGACTAAGTAAGGATAGTTCATCACCCTGATATTTTAGTATTGTCATTTTTACTTTCACTGAAAAGAACTTCATCGGAGAGTGCAAATTTTCTTTCTCTAGGTATTCTGGAATTCTTGTGATTGCATTAAAAATGTATGAAAAAATATGTATATGTTTGTATATATATATATATATTCTAATCAAACACTAATAGAATTTAAAATAGCATTACATTCATCAAAGTATACTCTCTAATACTATTTTTTTCTCTCCAATACTATTGAAATATTGTTTTTATTACCTCATTATGGTGCTAAGCAAGTATAAAACAAATGCAAGCTATGTCTGCCCTCCCTAGAATTTTATAACGGATGGGGCAAAGGCAGGTGATGGCTTTAACACAGACATTAAAATCATTTTCTAGCACATTGAAAACTATTATTTGTTTTCCTTATCTGTACAACTTCAATAGAAGATCATTTAAGGTATGTGAAAACAATACAATCTTAGTAAATGGCATATATATTTGTCATAATAGTACTTTTCATTTGGTTGTATTCTTAACTCTTTCTAATTAGATATGTCAAAAGAGATTTTTATTTCTTTCTTGACTATCACAAATACATTTTAAATTTCACAACCTAAAATATAAAATGTATAAACATTTAAAAAAATTATAGTAACTTTGCCTTTCTCAATATGTTAGACAATACAAAAGTATCTTAAAGTTATTTTTTGATTCTTTTCCAGTTGCTTCTCACTCATAACAAGACTGTGCAACAAAACAAAGAATGCCTGGTCCTCGCCATGCTCACAGTGGTTCATATGTTTAAGTCCATTGCTGTCGCCACCGTGTCAATCTGTCCCATTAAAAGTCTTCCTCTTTTTCCTGACCCTCACTTTCCCACGTGTGATGTCCTTTTCCAGGGACTGATCTCTTGTGATAGCATGCCAAAGAGTGGGAAAGGATGCCTCACCATACTCATTTCTAGGGAGCAGTCTGGCAGTATTTCTTCCAAAATGAATTAGTTTGTACTTCTGGAAGTCTTGGTCATATCAATATTCTTTGCCAGCACCATAATTCAAATGCCTGGATTCTTCTCAGGTCTTCCTTATTTATTTTCAGCTTCCACATGCATGTGAGGCAGTTGAGAATACCATGAGAGCACCTGGTTCATACAGTGACATCTTCGCTCTTGAACACTGTACAGATATCTGTGGAGCAGATGTACCCAATGCCATGCCTCATTTTATTTCAACCACTGCTTCCATGAATCTCTACAGAGTTAGTGGTAAGTATCAAGATAGAGATAGGGGGTTGTTCTTCTCCATGCCTAGGGACCCCCTACAGATGAAATATACAGCTTTCTTCTGGTTCTTTAATGCTTCCTCAACCACTATCATGACTAATTGTACCTTACAAATCTGGCTAGACCAAAACATGTACACAGGTACAGATAAGTGCTGGAAACTCAGGGAATACAGAACAGATAAACTCCTCAGGACCAATATTGACAGTAGCCATACCAGGTGAGTAGAAGTTGGGAGGTTTACAAATGAAGAGACAAGCTTAACCTTTGGTGCCTATTGACCTAGCTCACAGAGGCTCAGAATGAGAAATGGGGAGGAAGGTGTTTGCTGGCTTAAAATGCAGGGTGATGTGTAAATCCCTGAGCCTACAAATGGTACTCAAAGACCCTAAACTATAAGGGGTAGGAATGAGAGAGGTAGAATGGGCTGACAGATTTGAATTCCAGGGAGGTGTGCAGACTCTCAAGCTGGCCTACCCTGACTGGCTTGAGATGAGATGATCAGAACCTGGCAAAATGAAGGGAAAGGTGTTTGGCAGCCTGGGCTGGTATCATTGCTTCAATTTGATGGCTTTCCCTGAACTGGATTTTTTATTCTCAAACTGCCAACCAGACAGAATAATTTTTAGATAAAGGAACAGGCACATTCTTGTCTCCTCAAATTGTTTGTTTGACAGGAATGGACAATTTAGGTATTGCTAGCTAAAATGGGGGACAGGATGATAATAGCTTGAAGTGGCTGGCTTAACATTTTCATTAGTGTACTTACACTTAAAAAAATGGGATGAAGATGTTAATTCTTCCACTAGGAAAGGGCCAATGGCTAGAAAATCTTGGTTTGGGGGTGGGGGTGGGGGGCTGTGGTGCAGTACATTACTTAATATCACTCTTCTTGCCATATTCTTTGTAACGTCTAGCAAGTCATATCCACTATGCAAATTTGAAACGTGTGGCAGAGTAAAGGAATTTGAAGCATTTTTAATAACATAAACAAGGTGCATTGCACCACGTAAACAAAATGTGTGAAAACTTAATGGGGGGATTAGTAAGTTTTGCCAGGCCTTTACGTTTAAAATCTGCCATTCCAGGTTCAGGAAGGAGGGAATTTCACTGATCAAGAGTGAAGAACTAGGATTGAAATATGGCCTTTTGATTCAAGATCATGTTGCTGAACTTCCATAATTCAGATGACACTTATGAAATTGGAGATGGTGGTATTTGGTGAAAAACAACTAGAGCAGAGGAAATAGAAACAATAGAAGACAATGTGATTGAGCTTGGAGATTCCAAGGCTCTGGTTTGAGAAAGCTTGCTGATAGAGTGGGGTGTCTGTGGACTTAAAGGACAGAGCTAAAATAGCTTTATGACACTTGTCACAGAAGAACGGAAGCTGAGGGGTCTGAGGTGTGCAGTTTGGTCTGTCAATAGGTATCACTGAGAAGAAACTGTTTTGATCAAAGAATTGTATCCAGTCATTTTTGATCATGAATTGTAATCCATTACTTGCCTAATAAACTCTATAATGGTATTATGTTTGAGTTCTGCATGGCAATTCCAGTGGATTAGCAAACACAGAGGGAAAGCAGCAGTCCATGGGAGAACCTGTTGTCAGAACTGGTAAGAAAGGTTGGGTGGTAGAATCCTGTCTGAATCTGCCTCTTCAGAAACAGCCTTGAGCTGATGTTGATGGTGATTCTCTCTCCCGCTAAGATGTCAGAGATCAGCAGATGATACCCCAATGTCATTTTGAGGCTGATTCTAATATAGCTGTGTAATTGTGACTTTTAGACAAAATCCTAATATGTGTAAAGCAAATGAGTCAATCCAGAAGGTTTTCTTTTAATTAAAATACAATAATAATAATGATTCTATTTCATCAACTTCATGAACTAAGTAAGTGCAGAAATGTGTGCACACAGCTTTTGAAATGTGAGTACACTTTTCCTTCTGTAAACGGGGCATGATTCTTATTTACCAAGGGTATGGTAAAGATACAAATATATATCTACAATATATAAGTACATAAATATCAACTAACAGAATCTTACAGAGCGTTTGTGGCTTGGTGGGCTGTGCATGGATGACTAAGTGTGAGGTCAGCAATTTGAAACCACTAGGCAGTCTAAGGAAGAAAGATGAGATTGTCTCCTCCCCACAGATTTATAGCTCTGACACCCACAGGGGCAGTTCTACCCTGTCTATAAGTTCAGTATGATTTGGAATAGACTTGGCAGTGAGTTTTTGCAGTAGTAACACAATCTTAAAATACAGTAGGTTTCTAGAAAATTTTATGACTGTTGATTCTATAGCATGATGGTGAATGCTTCCATAAAAAAGTGAAATGAAAATAATTTTTTGAATTTTATTTTGTTTAACTCTTTATTTTGGAAAATCAAATTAACATATTTTCTTGAAAAATTACAAGTTGTACTTTCAACAATAACAATAAAAACCTTAATAGAAAATTAGAATGCTGTTTCTTGAGATAACTTGATCATTTTTTAAAATCATACATTTCATCTGATTGATGTACTAAGAATGAGTACGTCTTGGTGGCTAATATATATGGCCTTATCATTGTATATTGTCTATCTGAGTGTGGAAGTTACATAGTCTGTTGTCGATTTGAAACTTAAGAGTGAAGGAGTGGAGTTTAGCCTATCAGTCAGGTCACAGCTTGATGACCTCATTTTGAGGGACTAAGGAGATAAATATCTCACTGGAGGCAAGACACACACTCACTCCCTATGAGACGTGCTTGCTGACA